CTGAATGGGGAACATAATGGTAAAAGGGTTTGTAATCTAGGTTTGTAACCCAGGGCCTGGCATATGCTAAGCAAAGGTTCTACCACTGAGCTATAATCCCAGCCCTCCATAAGGTTTCTGAAACATCAAAGAAAGCATATATACTTTGCATTTTTTTCATGATGTAATTTCAATTATGTGTGTGTGTGTCACCTGATATGACAAAGTATTTCAGAATGCTCAGAGTTAAGAAATCATTAAAATAAGAAACCAAAACTACACAACGGTTACTATCCATTTAATGCCACCTTCCGAAGCTTCTACTATCCGTTGGTACAGTTTACCAGAAGCCAAAGCTATTTCCAGAAATAAAAACCTATCTATCAGTAAAATGTTTAACTGTTTCTCTTTAGGATAGATACGATGAACTCAATGTATTAAGTGGCTTCCTAAGATCCCACTGATGTGGTTTATTAGGCTGAAGTGGCACCTGTCCTCCTTCCCCAACCAAACTACTGCCCACCCCTCCCCCGAGGAACACATCTGGAATTGATTTACACAGCCCAGGAGCTAGTGATTTCCCACCCACACTCTGCCCATTCCATGCTCTGATGGTGGTCCTCTTAGGACTGGATTTGGTTCTAAAGGACCTCAAGTCAATGAGCAAGTGGGGGTGGTTTGTCTCACAGAGGGAGGGGGGCAGCTGCCTCTGTCTATCCATCGTCTCTCTCAGTTTTTCCTCAGGCATGCACAGAGCTGGCCCCAGAGGCTAACTTTTTATCAGTCAGGAATCCTGCACACAGGCAGGGAGGCAGTCCCCATCACACCCAGTCTGTCTTTAGGGAGAAAGCTGTCCACAGTTTCTCTGGAGAACAGCAGGATTGTGGGCGGCAGCACCATGTGGCGTGGTCAGACAAGGAGACACCTCACAGCCAGCCACTTGCCCAGTTTATTTTCTCACGACATCCTCTCATGAGCCAATTGACAATGAAGGATGAGCCACTGCTCTGGGAACACCCACGGTGGAGAGACCAGGGTTTATGGCAGCTAGACTCACTCAAGGAGACCTTCCCCTGCTGCTTGGGCAACAGTAAGTTGTAAAGTATAAAAGAAAATGTTCATAATTTATTATTATTATTATTATTATTATTATTATTATTGTGAGTACAGGCATATTTGTGTGGAGGTAAGAAAACAACTTGTGAGAGTTGGCTCTCTAATTCCATTGTGGGATCCACAGCTCTATCAGGCTTGTATAACAAGAATTTTATACCTGCTGAGCCATCTCACTCATCCAGTTTTCATAATCTTCTAACTCACCCATGCCTCCCAGCAATAAGGAACAGAACTGCTTGCTCCCTCTTCCTTTTTTTTTTTTTTTTTTTTTTTGAGACAGGTCTCACTATGTACCCCAAGCTGGCCTAGAACTCTCAGCTCCCCTGCCTCAGCCTGCCAAGTCTCAGCACTACAAGCATGAGCCACCACAGTCAGCCCCCGCCTCCCGTCTTTCCTTCCCTGTCCATCTCCTTTTCTTTCCTTCTCTGCCTTCCTTTCACAGGGTGCTACAGCCACAACACCCGTGCTCCACTCCGAGGGAATGGCTTTCGGCAGCCCTATCATTGACAAGTATACTTTATCTGGCCTTCTTGGGCCAAGAACTCCTGGGTTGGGCCACTGGACAAATCACACCTGTTTGCTCACTGCTAATGGGGATTATGTCAGGGACCCACCCAGAGAAAATCCACTGGTTTTTTAACAGTGAGTTTGCTTACTGTTCTGATAAACCTAGAGGGAAAAAAAGAGTCCAGTCTTTCTTTTCAGACCATATTCTGATACTCCTGGCTCAACATCCTCCTTTTCCTTTTTTTCTTTTTCTTTTCCTTTTTCAATTGCATCTGTGTGCACATGAGTGCAGGTGCTCAGAACCCAGAGGCATCAGAGCTCCAAAATTAAGAGTTACAGGCAGTTGTAAGCCATCCAACCTAGGTGATGGGCACCGAGCTCTGTACAAACTCAGTACAAACTTTTATTTATTTTTATTTTAATGTATGAGTGTACTGCATGTACATAAGTGCACCTGTGTCAAGCAATGAGGTCAGAAGAGGGCATTGGATCCCCTGGAACTGAACCTACAGACTGTTAACTGCCATATGGGTGCTGGGATTCAAACCGGGTCTTCTACAAGAGCCGCCAGTGCTCTTAACCACTGAGCCATCTCTCCAGCCTCAAGAGCAGTACAATACAAACTCTTGCAGAAACGGGCAGATCTCTGTGAGTTTGAGGCCAGCCTGGTCTCCTTAGCAAGATCCAGGCCAGCCAGGATCCAGGCCAGCCAGGGCTACATAGTGAGACCATCTCAGAAAAAAAAAAAAAAAACCAGCCTGGAGCACATGGCTCCTAGCCCAGAGGTCAAGCACTTCAGCTCTTTCAGCTCAGAACATAGTTTGTGAGGTTGGATTACTGATGTGTCTCCCAGGCAGTGGAGGGAAACAGTACCCCCTCACCGGTGTTTCTGTATTCTGTGCAACCCTGAAAACCTTCCCCAGTATGATCCAACTTCCTTCCTCCTACTGGAGAGCAATAAGACAGTGTGAATTACTGGAGACAGAGTCTCCAGAGGCCCAGAGGCCCAGAGGCTGCTTAGGGCTGGAGGGCTGAATCATCATGGCTGCCCACACTCAGATGTCTCTCCTGGGTCCCCTTCAGTGTAGCATGCAGGACCCAGCTTCACAAAAAAGAGCAGGGCTTAGAGTCCTGCATCCCCAGGCAGCTTTCCCATGATGAGTAGTAGGTAGGAAGGGCAGGTCTCTGTAAGTACTGAGCCCTAGAGGTAGTCAGAAGTGGGGAATTCTGGGTCATCAGAGCAAGTGCCCATTCTGTGCCTCTGAGGGACCATACCCACCCATGGCAGTGTCACACTCTGACCATGTAGGTAGAGGTGATGCCTGACAGGAATCAACTCAGCTCCTAGAAGAAACAGTCTAAGTCCTGTGTGAGGTGCAGGAGGTGCAGGAGCGATCTCTTGTTTTGAATCATCTCCTTGACAAATAAGGTGATAGTTTTGGCCTCAGGACCTTCCTCCAGCAGGGTTCTGGAGTAGAGCAAGGAAGAGACATTGCAATCTCAGGTCACAGACAGAGGAGAGCTTTAGTTAAGGCATCAGTTGAATCAGAAGTCACATACTCAGATACCTACAGGGGCCTGATAGATAGAATGTGATGGGGTGAATCAGGCCACTCATGGAGGTGGAGAGCTTTAGTCCAAACCTTAGTACATCCCTGCTGCTGGAGGCCACCCACGGGCAAGGAGCAACCAGAGCAGCTGGCAGTCACACAGGTGGCTGTGGGTGTGATGCTGGCAGTTTCCTTTACAAGGTCATTGGGCCTTCACCCCAGGATCTGTGGTTCTGAAGCTATAGAGGACACCATGATCAGCAGGTCAGTAGACCTGGCTTCAGAAGGCCTGTTCTGGGCACACTGTGCCATGCTCGGACTTCTGTCTCCCTTTCCAATGGGGAGAGTCTCAGCAATTCAAACCACCAGGGAAGAAAACTGGGAACTACATGAGTTGACGCAAGGCCCCCAGAGGTCAAGCCTCTCCAGAGGAGTGGGTGTGCATCCCAAGGTGTGACAACCCTGGCTCACAGCAGGTTCCCAAGCCTGTCTCCTAATTACCCTACTCCTGGTCCCCACCCAGCCCAAGATCCAGGAAGGGAACAGCATCTCCAGCAGCCTGGTCCCTGAGCACCGCCCCCTCAGCTGACTCCCAGGAGGAGCCTGGTCAAGTTCTTGGGTGGAGGGAGGCAGGAGCCCAGCCCTGGCTCCACCTCTAACTAGCTGGGTGCCCTTGAAGAGGTCACTGCCCACTATAGGCCTATTTCCTAAGGTGTCAGATGAGGGGGTCTCAGGTGGGGCAGGTCATCCTATGGTTAACTGGGGCAGAACGATCAAGCCTGTCAGTTCTGCCTCTCACCTGTAGACAGCACTCCTGGTTTGACCATCAAAGTCAGGCTGACTACATCCTAGCTAACCTCAGAAATAATATCACCCACCCTAGGTGGGGGAAGGAGCTCTAGCACAGATAAAACAGGTGTTTTCCCTGTATCTTAAGCTTTCTGTACATCTTAGGTTTCTGGAAAAATATCCTGTCTAAACTGGTGGAAAGGTGAGAGACAACTTTATGACCTACCAACAAAAAGCATTTTACACTAGACAGACATCACCCATAAGGCAAGCCCATGTGTCCATGTGCAAGAGCACACATGCCACAAGCAACACATGTCAAGGCCTCCCTGCTCTTCAAGTGACCAAAGTCTCTTATTTGCATTCCTAGGCTGAGACTGCCTGGAAATTACAGCTTTGGAGGAATAAAAAATTCCATTCAGACGTGCGGCTCCAGACCTGAGGCCTATGAGCAAAGTTTCCGGTGGCCTCCGCTTCCCTCCCCGCGCCGGAAAGCCAGGCGGGTCACCCCGTCCTCAGATTAAGGAGCAACTGCAACAGCTGAGGGAGCCCGCTGACTGTTTCACGGGGCCATCACGTTCTCCGCTGGGAACCCCAAATATGGGATGCCTGGCCTCCAGCCAGCACCCCCACCAGCTGCTCACTCACCTCCCCAGCATCTCAGAGATCACACCTCCCTCCGCCCACAGCACACCGACCTTTCCAAACAGGCTCTGCAGACAGGCCAGCCCTCGCCCATCCAGCCTAGTCTGGGCACAGATGCACGGGGAACTATCTAACATCCACGGCCCTTTTCAAGGACACTGCAGCATGAAATCCAGCCTTGGGGAGAGAGAGGGTGGCCCGCTGCCCCCCCTCCTCAATACACATACACACGCAAGCACGCTGACAATGCCCGGGAGAGTCCCAGCACGAGGCCTCTCGCCTGAGCCCTCAGTCCAACTAGATGCTGCCTGGCAGAAGCCGGGCGCTGGAGGACGGAGGAGACGGCGGCAGCAAGCGGATGCCGGAACGAAAGGCTGCGGCCAGGGCGCCGGCGGCGGCGCGGGCGGGGCTCACCTTTTTGACTTGGTCATCCTTCAGCTCGGTGAAGTAATAGGCCAGGAGCTGCGCGGCGATCATGGTGGCGGTCGGCGGCGCGGGGAAGCAGACGTGGGGCCGGTGGCTTCTCCGCAGCCCCGGTGAGCAGTGGTCCTCCGAGGGCAGCTCCGCAGCTCCTCCTCCTCCTCCTCCTCCTCCTCCTCCGCCTCTCTTGGCTCCTCCCCCGCAGCACCCGAGGCGCGGCATCAGCCGGCGCGCTCCCGATCGCGTCCCCGGCCGAGTGACTGGCGCCGCCCGCCCACCTCCTCTGCGCCCATTGGCTGCGATGCTGCGATGCTGCGCGTGGCTGGGGCATCGGCATCCGGGCCTGGAGCCCGGGAGCCGCGGTCTCTCCTTCCTGCTCCGGAAAGGAAGCAGGCGACATCACCGAGTCCCCAGCCCCCGGACGGGCATCACCCTGCACGTCCCCCATGTAGGGAGCGCTCGAGAGCGCACTGTCACGCGTGGCGGCGCCGTGCCTGAGCCGGTGGGCAGGACGTGGGGAGGTGCCGCGCGCGCCATCTGGAGGGGACCAGAGGACCCCGGTGTTGCCGCGGGAGACCGCAGACTGGAAGATGCGGGGTCACACCCCTTCTCGGAAATCATGGCTAAACCCCCCGCCCCCCGCCGCCGCCGCCGCCGCCTCTGGGATGGGGACGGGGACGGGGACGCGCACAAGTAGGCGTGGAAAGCGAGCGGAAGCGGTCTCTGGGCTCTAGTGCCAGGCTCTCGCGCCTTTGGTACTCACGGATCCTGGAGCCGATCACCTTAGACCCGAACGGCGGAGCATCTCCTACAACCCAGGCTGGGGACTTCGCATCACTAAATCCTGAGCTCCCCCGCGTCGCCCGCTGGTCACTCCCCAGCAGAGCGCGTGGCTGCCGGGAGGAACTTGAGCCACAGGCCTCAGCGGGTCCCCATCCACTCACCCTTCCTTCTCTGGCTCTTGGGCATCCAGGCCCACGGAGGTTGGGGGATACAGTTCCGGCGCCCCTCCAATATACTGTCTTTTTCTTTTTCCCAAGTTGGAGGCGGGGGCTTGGGGTGGGGCGTTGTGCCTTACAAGACGTATAAGAATCCAAACATACAGAAGTGACTACCGCCCTGATTCAAACAGGTAAGGAACCTGAGGCCCACTTTACAGTTTTGGATCAGGATTAAAGCTGGGTCTTAGTATCTTCAAGGATTGCTGACAGGCCAGCTATCATCCAGGGACTGAGGCCTTGCATCAAGGGGAAGATGGCCTGGCTTCCAGGGCAGCCTTCAAATACCCCAGGCCCTGCCAGCTGCCATCACCCACCGAAGAGGAGCTCAGACCAGAGGCCTGGAGACTAGGGGTCTCAAACTACAGCGCATCCCCACCTTGCCTAATGCAGGTGCAGATGTACCCAGAGTCACCTCCCTGAGCCTCTTTCTTCATCCATAAGATGGCGCTGCAGCTACTAATGCCCATGCCCCTGTAGTGGTTATAAAACACCATAAATAAAAATCTGCATCTAACAATAACTGGTCGATGTTATGAAATGGACTGGAAACTTAACAGGTAAAAACTGTGATGCCTGTCACCTGTATGTCTCCATTTCCAGGCCTCGAGAGGGCATAGCAGTTACATTTTTCCAAAGACTCCCTTCCAAAAAGTTTTTATTTAAGTTTCAAGTCCCATTAATACCTCAGTCTGCCCCTGGATAATTATAAACCAGGAACAATGTGGTTTTCTGGTGTATATGAAACTACCAACACAGCCATAAGGACAACATGGTTGCTGTGAGCTGCCATTTGAATCTGAAAATGTGTTTCTACCAGCTCTCAAGGCTGGGAACTCTAAGGTTTTGCTCTGGCTACACACCTAGCCTAGGGTACCACTCAGCGGAATGAGCCAAGCCTTACTAGGATGTAGCCTTCAGCCAGCCCCCAGTCACCACCACCTGTACCCACTACATCCATCATCCAAAAGCTAGAGTTGGGAAGAATCTGACCATGCTTGTAGTCAGGTAGGTGTCTCTGCTGTCCCTTCCCCCAGCCCTAGTAAAGGTGACTCAATACATGCACACGCACACACACAGGCTCCAAGGCTTAGCATTATTTCCTGATAACACATCTCTAGGCCAGACCTATTGCTGCTTCCAACCCCCTAGTCCTTCTCTGCCCTAGCCAGAAATATAACAAGAGCATTAGAGCTGTCCTGGTTGCTGGCTTCCTGCCATCCAAGTCATTCCAAGCTCCAGGTCACATTAATCCTGCTAAAAAGTAGCCTAATCATATGCCCCTGCCACAGTCCCTCCCTGGCCTTCTGTCCTGATGGAGCCAATTTAAACATCTTGGCCTAGTGGCTGAGGCCTTCTGTAATCTGACCCCACTCTTTCCCACTTATCTCTTCCTCTACCCCTGGCTATAGCAAGGCCACGTCCCACTGTTCTCACCCCCACCAGGTCCATTCCATACTACCTTGCTCACCTGCCTTCTGCATTCCTGCACCTGGCCAAATGTCAACTGTCACAAAAGGCACATCTGACCTTCCTTCCTCAGTCAGCCTTCCCTGACCTCAGCTACTCACCCTGGCCTCCCAGGCTCCAGCACCTCCACAGGGCATACTCGGACAGTGCTCAGAGTCCATCCAAATGGAGACCAAGGCTCTTCTTTACAGATGAGGAGCCTGACGCTCAACTGGTGGGCCATCTTGCCCAGTGGCACGTTGCAGTAGAATTCGGAGCCAGGACTCAAACCTAGTTCTGATGCCCAGCCAGAGCTCTAGGTCCAGCCTACCCCACCACCTCAGGCAGCCTGGGCCCCAGATAAGCAACACACAGTCAGGACCGCCTCCCTGATAAGGGTGACTGTCTCTTGGGGACTGGTCTTATCTGTTCCCATCAGACTGCTTCCTGAAGCCTGCACTGGGGCAGTGCTGTGTTCCCTTTTAATCAAGCCACAGATCACCTCATGCATGGCTCCTGATTAGTCTCACATCTTTTTTTCTTTACTTCTTTTTTTAAAAGACAAGTTCTCATATAGTCTAACCTGGCCTTGAGCTCTCTATGTAGCCAAAGATGACCTTGAACTCCTGGTCCTCCTGCTCCACCTCCTGAATGCTGGGATCACAGGCATGTATCACCTCCCATACTAAGCAAGCACTCTACCACCAGAGCTCTATTCCCAGCCTGTGCCAGGCAAGTCTTAAACCCCAGCCCAGCTGCCTTGATTATTACTCCCTAGACCGCAGGAAGACTTCATCCCAGAGTCTCAACAAGCTTCCTCCCCTTCTGGGCAATGTCCTCTCCCTCAAGTCTCCTGAACTCTCAGTTCCTTTACTGTGGTTCTCCTACTACAAGCTGGGGGATCAAATGTTGCCAGGTTGCCACCCCACCAAGCACACCTGCTCAGCAGACAATGCAGGCTGTGTACTAAGAACATCTCTATTCCTGTCCACATGACCCACAGCACTAGGAATGTTACTCCACATGATCCATAGCAGACATGCACAGACACCCAGCACCTGGGCGTGCACTCCTACCAGCATCCTACCAGAAAATTATGTTTGCACAACGTTGACAGTTTACAGAGCAGCCTTTCATTTATTGCCTCATTTCTCCTGATAACAGCCTGGAGAGGTTAGAAGGGCAAATATCATTATCCACACTTAATCAATCAATGAGGTGTGAGGGAAGATTGTAGGGCCCACAGTCTCACAGAGAGAGCAAGAAAAGCGTACAGCCCAGCGCCTGCACTGCATTTGCATTTCTGTGAGTTGCATCCCTGGTTTGTAACCTGGCTGAGAACTTGCCTAATGGGACTTGCTCATTCAGACCCAGACTTCCCATGGGCATATAGGGACACAATGACTTCTAAAATGAGTTGCCCTGGGCAGGAGAGATGGCTTAGTGGTTAAGAGCATTGGCTGCTCTTGCAGATGACTCAGGTTCAATTCCCAGCGCCCACATGGCAGCTAACAACCATCTGTAACTCCAGTTTGAGGGGAATCTGATGCCCTCTTCTGACCTCCATGGCATTACACAAACACAGGTGCACCTACATTCATGCAGGCAATACACTCATACACAAAAGAAAAATAATAAAATAAAATAAAATGAGTTGCCCTGTGATGTTTCTAGCAGCTTCTCCAGCCTGCCGGGACTCAGGATCCAGAGCAGGAAGGGGTGAAAATTCACTTGGAGCTCCTCTGGGTTTTTCATGAGAAGTCTGGGGAGGATGCACGAGCACCCCAGGCTGGACCAGTAAAATAATATTCTCGGCTTGTCTCTTTCCCTCTTTCGTCTGCCCAAAGTTCTTCCCTCCAGCATCATAACAGGGTCAACTGGCTAGCAATGGTCAGGCTAAAGCTGTGCTCTATAGTGTCTTGTTTAGTGCAGCTGATGTTTCAAAACTATGAGCAAACACTTAACATTAAAAGACTACTTTTAAACTCAGGTTTCTGGCATCTCTAGTCTAGCCACACTACCCATATGGGTGACTGATTATGTGGCAAGATTGGGTCAGATCTGAGAGCAGTCACTGACCCCTTCAGCCAGGGACAGGCACCAAGCCCACCCAACCTACCCACTCACTGATTGACACTCTGATAGTGCCTGGATGGCATTTCGTTCTTCCTAGTGATTGGACTTTACAGGCAAAGTGCCTCAGGCTTTAGAGCCAGGGTTAAGATGATGCAAGAGGTGAATAGGATGCAGAATTTAAGTTTTGCACGTAGATTTTGCACACTGGATACCTCTCTAGGTTTCCCCCAGATACCTGCCCTTCAAGTTATCATAAAGGCTTCTGCCTGCCTGCCTAACCCATTCACCACTGCTCAGAGAGGGCCAGATCCCTCCCACACACACATACACACATCATTCTTAGCTTCTGCCTGGCCTACAGAGTGAGTTCCACACCAGAGTTACATAAAGAGACCTTGTCTCAAAAATAAATTAAAAAATTTTGAAGTTTATGTATACCAAAGAAATGTTTTAAAATAAATTTCTTTATCATTTGTTAACAGTAAATGTTTGATTTGTATATCTGTCTTGTAGGCTATGTACTCAGGGTAATGTAAAAAATTCTCAGGCAAAAATAAGTCACAAGTAGAAAAAGTTTAGCCCAGTTCTATCCAAAACTATCAAGAGGCAGAGGCAGGAGGATCCCTCCAAATTTGAGGCCATCCTGGTCTACATAGCAAGTT